AGAAGGTAGTGATCAAGTGGCTGGATGCGGGTATCATCTTCCCCATCTCTGACAGCAACTGGTCAGTCCTGTCCAATGTGTGCCGAAAAAGGGAGGAATGATGGTCATACAAAATGAGAATAACGAGTTGATCTCGACTCGTACAGTCACGGGGTGGCGGATTTGCATGGACTATAGGAAACTGAACACAGCCACTCGAAAGGACTATTTCCCATTGCTTTTCAATGACCAAATGTTGGACAGGTTAGCTGGGAGGTCCCACTTCTGTTTCTTAGATGGATACTCGGGGTATAACCAGATCTCAATAGCCCCGGAAGACAGAGAGAAAACATCCTTCACTTGTCCATATGGCATCTTTGCCTTTCGGAGAATTCCCTTTGGACTTTGCAATGCACCAGCTACATTCCAGCGGTACATGTTAGCCATTTTCACTGACATGGTAGAGGATATTATGGAGGTGTTTATGGATGATTTCTCCGTGGTGGGGGATTCATTTGAAGATTGTCTTCACAACTTAAGAAGAGTGCTCAAAAGATGTGTGGAGACAAATCTGGTGCTGAATTGGAAAAAGTGCCATTTTATGGTACAAGAAGGAATAGTGTTGGGGCATCGAGTGTCCAGTAAGGGCATTGAAGTCGACCATGTCAAGGTTGATGTGATTGAGAAGCTGCCACCACCCACTTCGGTAAAGGTAGTGAGAAGTTTTCTTGGGCACGCCGGGTTCTATAGGCAATTCATTAAAGATTTTTCTAAAATTGCTAACCCCTTATGTAAGATGCTTGAAAAGGATCATCCCTTTGTGTTTTCTAATGATTGCAGGTTGCTTTTTGAGGAGCTGAAGAAGAAATTGGTGACTGCACCCATCATAGTTGCACCCAACTGGGAGCAACCGTTCGAGCTCATGTGTGGCGCCACTGATTATGCTATAGGAGCAGTCTTGGGGCAATGCAAAGACAAGATGATGCACCCGATTTACTATGCAAATAGGACGCTCAACGGTGCACAGCTCAATTACATTGTAATGGAAAAGGAAATGCTGGTTGTAGTGTTTGCTTTCGACAAATTCAGGTCGTACTTAATTGGTTCAAAAGTTATTGTTTATACTGACCATGCATCAATTAGGTACTTGATAGCAAAGAAGGAGTCAAAGCCACGCTTGATTCGCTGGGTTCTTTTGCTACAAGAATTCGATCTGAAAATCCGTGACAGAAAGGGGACGGACAATCAAGTGGCAGACCACCTCTCAAGATTGGAAGGAGCTGAAAAGAGAATGGAGGTTGAAGACATAACAGAGACATTCCTGGATGAACAGTTACTTGCTGTGACAATAGTGGAGACGCCATAGTATGCTAATATTGCTAACTATTTAGCAAGCGGTATTGTACCTTATGAACTCTCCTCAATTCAAAAGAAAAAGTTCTTCCACGATTGTCGAGCCTATTATTAGGACGAACCTCTATTGTTTAAAATATGTGTAGATAACATGATCCGGAGGTGTATCCCCGAGAAAGATCAACGTTTTGTTTTGCAGACTTGCCATGCTTAACCATATGGTGGACACTTTGGAGGAATCCGGACAACAGCAAAAGTGTTGGAATCGGGATTGTATTGGCCTATCCTGTTCAAGGATGCCCATGCTTGGGTCAAAATTTGCGATGAATGCCAAAGGACAAGCAACATATCTCGCCGTCACGAGATGCCGATGACCACAATTCAAGAGGTGGAGCTTTTTGACACATGGGGATCGACTTTATGGGGCCGTTCGTCAGCTCGTATGGTAACAAATATATATTGGTAGCGGTTGACTATGTCTCCAAGTGGGTCGAAGCGGTGGCTCTCCCAACCAGTGATGCAAAAGGGGTGACAAGTTTCCTAAAGAAAAATATCTTCACACGTTTTGGCACCCCGAGAGTTATAATCAGTGATGGTGGAACCCATTTTTGCAATAGAGCGTTCGCACGTCTATTGAAAAAGTATGGAGTTCGCCACAAAGTAGCCATACCATACCACCCACAAACGAGCGGGCAAGTTGAAGTGTCCTATGGAGAAATTAAAAGTGTCCTGACAAAGACAGTGAATGCAACAAGGACTGATTGGGCGAAAAAGCTGGATGATGCATTATGGGCGTACCGCACAGCATTCAAAACTCCAATTGGTATGTCACCGTACAATCCATCCACCTATCCATAAGTTCATGTGCTATTCTCTTAATTTCTGCAACATGAAAATCATACATTCGATGTTTATTTCACACCATATAGAATAGTACGTACAGAAAGACCAGAACTATGTAAATATCCCTCGTAACCAGGATAAGATCACAAATACCGAATCCATCATAACGAGACCTTAAAAAGATTGATGATATACGTCTGGAGCCATAGATCATTAGCGTGGTTTTTTCCTTCATATTTACTGCTAGAGAAACTAAGAATAGGGTGGAACATGGGCAGAGCTAGCTAGGAGGGCGGGAGCGGGTCGAACCCCTTCGCCGGAAAATTACATTATATATACTAGGTCAAAAAAAATTAATGTATATATTGGGGCAGAACACAGAGGTGGTAGAGACCCACTGAAAACTATAGGTGCAGATACCAGAAGACAATTCTCGTCTAGCAAATTGCAAATTCAGATTGACATACTGAATTTAAAATACATATTCAAGCTTCAAAGTTACTTATAACTAGACTGTTATTACTAGTGAACTAATAAAAAGATGAATAACATGAAAGAATTTTTTGACTTGTGGGAGAATAAATGCAATTCATTATTCTTCAAATTAAGAGTCCAACACGATGCTTTAAGCTACAGGTTGCATGATATTCCTTATACTAAACAACAATATAGACGCACCAGTCAAAAACAGATACTCCCCTAACACGACTTCATCTTCTCAACTCTCTTAGAGAAGTTTGTATATATATGCTTAAAAATACTACAGAATGATCAACATTATGAGATATCCTGAAGCAATGCATGACACTGGAAAATATCAGCAAGGTCATGCACATTTTCACAAGTCAGTTCAAATTCTATGCATATTCCTTTTTTTATTTTTAACACAGAGATGAAAAAGCATCTAGAACATGCAGACTAGATATAACAGGCAACTTGTATTTGGCATGAAACTTAAAGGCAGCCTGGACTAAATATAAACTAGCTAAAAGATGATATAGACTCCATTTAAGCATTTCCGAAGATTCAAATCGTCTGAGACTATTGAAGCTATAAAAAAAGGTACAGTCTAAAAGAAGCACTTGTCTACTTACATGATGCATATGTTTTTTAAATTTACGGAAAAGGGTCGGAACTGCCCCTGCCCCTGCCCCTGAAGTATTAGAATTGGTACAAAATTGCCCTCCGTCCACCTATTTGAATAAAAATGCCCCTATCGTTATTTTTTTTGGCTCAACATTACCCTTATTACTAACAGAAAATTCATAAAAAAAGAAAATTTAAATAATATTCATGTGTCACCGTCCCATTGGTCTAACATAAACCCCAACCCGTAACCAACCACCCGCCTCAATTTTAAAACATAACTCTCTCTCTCTCTCTTCGCTATTTCATTTTAGTGAGCATTTACTTACGAGTGTATGTCTACTATTATTGATGAGGCAAACTCAAAATTGAGTTCTATATTAGAATTATTTTTATGGAAGATGGAAGGAATTGTCATATTCTTCTTAATGCAAAAAGTTTAGATTCTTTTTGTTTATGCAATGGGTATTTTTTATTATATAANCCCCCCCCAGAATTTTCTGTTAGTAATAAGAGTAATGTTGAGCCAAAAAAATAACGGTAGGGGCATTTTTATTCAAATAGGTGGACGGAGGACATTTTTGTACCAATTTCGATACTTCAGGGGTAGTTTTGACTCTTTTCCGTTAAATTTATAATGTCTGACTAACCATTTTGGTCTAAAAGGTAAAGGAGCATGGAAATAACATAAAGCTAACTGCCAATGCAAGTTTGAATTTGAGGCAATTGCCACAAAATGACATTGTTAATAAATATATAGAAAGATGCAGAATGTTTGATTTGGAGGTAATTTTAAATTTATCCACTACTTCACCACAGCATAAGGGAAATCTATTCATCTCATTACAAACTGAAAAGCATTCCTAGCATCAAGGAAAAATTAAATAAAACTATAGCCGAACATGATTGGAGACATTAGATAGCGCACTGTCACTATTTTCATTTGACATGGAGCGCATATGTAAATATTGACATCCTAAGAGAAACAGTAATTTTCGAGAAAAACCATGGATACATAACAAAATTCTGCTGTTGAATCTCATACTTTTCTCTCGATCTCTAATTAAACCAACATTTTGCATTGTGAACTTGATTCTAAAAATTAAATAAAACTATAGCCGAACATGATTGGAGACATTAGATAGCGCACTGTCACTATTTTCATTTGACATGGAGCGCATATGTAAATATTGACATCCTAAGAGAAACAGTAATTTTCGAGAAAAACCATGGATACATAACAAAATTCTGCTGTTGAATCTCATACTTTTCTCTCGATCTCTAATTAAACCAACATTTTGCATTGTGAACTTGATTCTAAAAATTAAATAAAACTATAGCCGAACATGATTGGAGACATTAGATAGCGCACTGTCACTATTTTCATTTGACATGGAGCGCATATGTAAATATTGACATCCTAAGAGAAACAGTAATTTTCGAGAAAAACCATGGATACATAACAAAATTCTGCTGTTGAATCTCATACTTTTCTCTCGATCTCTAATTAAACCAACATTTTGCATTGTGAACTTGATTCTAAATTTGTCCATAGAACAAGCCTAACCTGAACAATGACTCCATGGGAACAGTCCAACAAAGCTATCCCAAACCCCTCCCCCGTCAAGTTATTTCCCAGCATTACTTATTTCCAATGATAACATTCCTTGAGGTAATGATACTTATCAAAACAAAACAAAATATTCCTTGAGGTAATAAAAGTTAAAAGGACAGCCCCGTGCATTAAACTCTTTGCTTTGCACAATTTTGCTAGATTACATTGGGTCTTATGTATGCAATGTTCAGCGACCCAGCAATTTATACAATAAAGTTGGCGAACCTTCTTCCCTTTTCCATGGGGTAAATTTATACAACAAAAGAATAGAGGTTCAGTTCTATAATTCCATTTCCATAAAGGACAAAATTCATACATCCATTCATGATTGACGATGACAGCGTACTAAAGCACCTATCAATTGGTGAAAGATAGAGGTATAATGTTCACGACACTAATTCTACCAAAACTCTAGGTTCCACGACCTAACATAGGGACAATTCATTCAGCACCTGTGTCCTCTACAGATTTCTTATACTCTGGCTTCAACTCGTATGTTCCTTGGTTTGTTCCTCTTTTATTGTACACGCAAAGCTCATTCAATATCTCTTTCAAAAATTGCTGCAAAACAAGTAAAATAGTTAGATATAATATCATGAGGTAAGGAGAAACGCAACCACGCAGCTTCAAAAGGAAATATATCATTTTTCTGTTCTCTCTTTTTGTTGTCCCTGATTGAGAGGACAAAATGGACATATCTGAGCAAACATGGAAGCAAAATTATGTGATGTGACTTGGATTACAAGAGCTATTGCAGTGAATCTCACACTTCCCTCAAGAAAACAATGGGTATTAACTTCATTCTCAGAAAAAAGAAAATAATGAGTATTAACTAATCTCAAAAACAATAGGTACTAACCAAAAAACCCCAGTAAAGTAAGCGTCTGATCACAAAAAGAAACAAATAACTTAACGATTTTATGACAGAATAGACATCCCGATCAGACAACATACCGCAGGTTGATCTGTTTCTTGCACCAACTGCTTCAAAGTCCAATTGGGTTGTCTCTCAAAAAGCTTAAACATGATATCTTCCAGTTCGCCACGGTCCCTTCTAGTTCTCTTGACTTCTGGCCCCTTAACAGGAGCCGCCTTCTTTTTGTCCTGCATGGGAACAAGGATGTAAAGAGGCTACTAATTATTCCATTAACTTTCTTGCAGAGATTAGAAAAGACAATGGGGAGCATTTCCATAACATAAATGAATACAGTGAGCAAAATTGGCAAAGTACTCTGACAGAAGGTCATACAAAACGAGGTTTCAAGGAGGCGAAATAGTGAGTGTGTAACCCAATTGTATGCTCAATCATACTTTGAAGATCATGAAAAGCATTTCTCTGTCTCAAGAAGGCATTTACTAAAGTTACAACTTAGTAAATTGCAGCATGTCAAATCATACACATTATATGACCTGAAATCCTCTGAAAAGACAAAATCTTCCAAAAGTACATAAAGCTGTGTATAAAAATGGAAAGGCAAGATTTCTAAATGTTCAGAGGAATAGATGATGGTCCGTATACCTTAGAACTGGACGCAATCAAGCCGATCATCCCAGGCATGGGCCTCATATTGACTCCACGATCATTATCAATGACCTGATTTTGCAGTAAATTAATCAAGGAACAGTTAAGACAAAGTGCGAATGTTTTAGAGAAGAGATCAAATGAAAGGAGATTTACCTGTATTTGTCTGTTCTTGATCATTGACTTATTTGTCCTTTCACGACACATTTTCCTATACTCCTCCATGTTACGAGTATGAGGTGTCATATCAAACTTATGTTCGACCTTTCCTTCCATGGAAGCTCTTCCTTCAGAAAGAACAATAATTCGGAGAGCAGAGGTTGAGAGAGTGAATTAGGTAAATTAAATTGAAACCTGAGTTGACTGTAACGCTTTTTCAGTTGGAAAAGCTTAAAACAAAAACCGTCAATTTGTGAATTCCTCAGTACTATGATAGATAATGTAAGCAAAGAAAAAAAACCATCACCAAGCAAATAAAGCTTATGGTGCAAATTACGATTGGAGATTTTTGAAATTATTCTAAAGTCATATATTGATGATATTGCAGAAAGAAAAGAATTTATAATTTAAAACACAAAATTGACATAAACTTCATTATCTCATTATCTCAGAGTTAATGAAGGAGAAGTAAACAAAGAGGCAAAGGAAAGAGAAAAGAACTAGAAACACAGAGCCAATGAAAAGGAATCAAAGAATGTGGAGGCCACAGCGAGAAGTAGCCAAGAGATTTTCAAGGAAATTAAGCCTCTTTAACTCCTTTAGAGGATACCCGGTTATTCTATGAATGTAGGAAAACACTCTAAGCATCCAACCCAAAACCTTGAGACAAAGAGTGGAGTGGCCTAAGAGATTTATATAAACCTCTTTGGATGCCCCTGCATACCTTTCGTGGGACTTTAAATAACTCAACACCCTTCCACACTATTGAATTCTTAGGGTAAACACATGGACTTAAATGCATACTTAGAAGCATGAGAATTATCAAAGGTTGACTCTGATAAAACGTGAAAGAATCTAAGCATCCAGCGTAAAAATATCTTAAAGCAACTGGTGGAGCAGCCCAATACTTTTACAGATCCCTCTGGATGCTTGTGTACGTGATCAGGGTTGTAAAAAGCAAGCGCTTCCTCGCTTAAAGCGAGAAGCGAAGCAANTCCTCCTCCTCCTCCTCCTCCTTCTTCTTCTTCTTCTGTTTCAGCGTCCAAATAGCAGCGAAATGCTGGCAAATTATTTTTTCCCTTCAGTTCTTCTCCTCTTCTTCTTCTTCTTCTTCAGATTCTTGCACTGTTTCAGTGATAAAAAGATTGAAATGCTGCCCATTTTTTCGTTTCAATTATACTACCCTTCTTCATATACTTGCTGCATTTTTTTTCATATCCTTTATTCTTAGTTCTTATTGCCTTTCTTATGTGTTATGTAGTTGTTCTTTTAATGGAACCAAAAGAAGATAGGAAAGACCCGACTTGAGCTTATTCTGCAAGAGTTAGCGAGACCAACAAGATGGCAATTAGAAGTCTTTTTGTGACAAGATTTCAAATGGGGGAATCTATCGCCAAAAAGCGCATCTAATCGGTGGTGATCCAAACGTCGCATCTTGTCATAAAGTTCCGCCGCATGTGAAGGAAGAATTGAAAGCATTCCTTCAAAAAAAAAAGAGTTAAAGACTCAAATGCTTCATGAACAAGAACTGCATAATCTTGATGATGCCGATGATGAAATAGAAGAAGGTGACGATGGTTCGTCGCTTCCATTAAAATCACAAAAGCGGGGAAGGATACAAACAATGTCTTCTAGTTGTGGATCTACTGGTAAGACTAAAGGTCCTATGGATTGTTATTTCCCGCAAAAACCAAGAGATAAGGGAGGGAAAAGTGGTAATCCTCAAATTGATGCCAAAGCAATTTTGAGGGATAGTGCAGTTGCAATGTTTGCGCGGTGGATGTATGATGCAGGTCTTCCTTTTAATTGTGTTAATTATACTGACACTTTTTCTGCTTTTGTTGAGGTCGTAGGACAATATGGCCCAGGAATGAAGCCTCCAACTTATCATGAAGTTAGAGGTTCATATCTAAAAAAAGAGGTGGAAGAGACTAACAAAATCGTGGAGCACAAAGTAGAATGGAATAAGTTTACTTGTTCCATTATGATGGATAAATGGACGGCAAGAAATGGAAAAATGGTCATCAATATCTTGGTGAATTCTCCTAAGGGAAGCTTGCTTCTTGAGTCCGTTGATGCAAGCAACTCTTCTACCGATTCAACCAATATGTAATCCTTGTTCAAGAGTACAATAGACTCTATTGGAGCAGAAAATGTTGTTCAAGTTGTCACGGACAACGCCAGTAAAAATGTTAAAGCTGGTGATTTGATGTCTGTAGGGTACCCGCATATTTATTGGACTCTGTCTGCAGCACATTGCATTAATTTGATCTTCGGTGACATTTTCAAGGAAAGACCCTTCAGTTCAGTCTTTAATCAGGCAATTAGAGTATATTCCTATATTGTTCAAAGGCCTTTGTTACTGAATATGATGAAGAGATTCACTAAACAAAGAAGCTTGGTGAAACCTACAAAGACAAGATCTGCTACCGTTTTCTTGACTTTGCATAGAATGTATGAGCAAAAAAGCAACTTGAAGAAGTTGTTTGTTTCAGATGAGTACACTAACAGTGCCTATGGAAGGGAAGCTCGAGGGAGAGAATCTGCAGATATTATGCTTTCTAGGTTCATGCATTGAAGATTGGTGGTCCTTTAGTTAAAATGCTTCGTTTGGGGGATGGGGAGCAAAGACCACCAATGGGCTACCTTCACGACGCAATGGATAGGGCAAAGGAGGTTATTCAAAACTCTTTTAGTGATCAAAAAAAATATAAAAGAGTCTTTGAGTTCATAGATAAAAGGTGGAGCGGTCAGATTCATCGCCCTTTGCATGCAGTTGGACTTGTTTTGAACCCGGAACTATTTTATGACAATGAAGAGAGGATTATAAGAGATGAAGTATTGTGGAGTGGATACATTGAATGTATTGAGAAGTTGATACCTGAAGAATCCGTGCAAGATAAAATAACAGAGCAATTTAGTACTTATAGGAATGCTGAGCAACTTTTTGAAAAAAACATGGCTATTAGACAAAGAAAGATGAAGTCGCCAAGTGAGCGAGTGCTTATATGTTGCTTTATAGTTAATAAGTTATTTCTTTATAAATATTATGTTTTGAATATTTGTTCTACTTCTACAGTTGAATGGTGGAAGCAATATGGCCATTCCACTCCAGAATTACAAAAGTTTGCCATCAAGGTTCTATGTCTAACGTGTAGATCATCCGGGTGTGAAAGGAATTGGAGCGTGTTTGAACATGTAAGAACTAAGAAGAAAAATTTAGTATATTGAGATAATTAAATTATATCTCAATTGTCCTAATCTTATTTATTACTTATTATTTGCAGATTCACACCAAAAAGAGGAACAAACTAACCTTGAAGCGTCTCAATGATCTAGTCTTCATTAAGTACAATAGAACATTGAGGCGTCGTTACAACACTCACAATATAATTGATCCAATTAGTTTGGACAACATCGACGATGCTAATGAATGGCTAACTGGAGTCCCGGAAGATCATGCAGATGAAGAAGTATTTGAGAAAACTTCTGATTTCACTTAGGGTGATATTGCGAAGGCGCGTGGAATTGGGGAGAGGATTTATGGTTTGAAGGGGAGTACCTCAACTTCAAGCTCACAGAGGAAGGCAAAAGAAGCAACTACTTTGTCCCTAGTTGATGAAGAAGAAGAAGTTGAAGAAGATGACGAGCAATATAATAATGATAGTATACAAGAATTTGACAATCTTGTAGAAGAATAGGATGCGCATTTTGTGCTTTAATTGATGCTACTTTTTAGTTTTTACGTTGAAGTATTGAACATTTGCTTACAGTTACATGTGTTGTCTATGCAGTATTTATTTTAATTTTTTTTTTTAAATTCCGCTTCACTTCAAAAAAGCGAGCGCTTCGCTTCTCGCTTTAAGCGAAAAGGGGTTTGTCGCTTTTCCTCGCTTCACGCTCTTCAACAACACTGACGTGATGTGTGTTTTTTAGATAACTAAACAAACAATAGAATCATGATATCAGTACCCAAACCAATTGCTAACAAATAGAAAACTAAAATCTCCAACTGAACCTCACAGTGCAGATGGAGGAGCCTAATCAGAAGCAGAAAGATACTGTTTTGAGACAAAAATAAATCAGAGAACTCAAACTGGTCCTTCAGTTCACTAGGTGTACCTAAACTTATAATGTTTTGAAGAAACAAAATGGAAATAATCAACCTGATTTAACTCCCCGAAAACAATGCAGATCAAGCTAAGAACAATAGGAAACATCATCAAACATTCACATGACTTTATAACACTTAAGTGACAGAGCCAAGATACTTACCTTGAGGGGTCTCCGAGAACACACACATTGGGACAAAGTCTTGGAACATATTCAAGGAGTAACTTTTCGGCACATTCCCAGTATCATTTCCACCCATCTCCATAGTGAACTGTATATCGTAAAGATTCCATAAGGGTAAAGATGCATATGAACAGATCCAGCATATAAGCAATGGATGCACATGCACCCACTGTCTCGAACACAGATTACATCCATGAAAATATCAGGATCAGACTCTATATATGAACATATAAAATTTAAACAAACATATATAAAAAAATATGTATCAACATTAAGAGGCGTTGGACTTTTTTTTTTTGGATACTGTTTACCAGCCTTGAACCCTTGACCTAGTAGTTTGGAGAAAACTCCCCAACCACTATGAACAAGGATGGCCGGTAGAGACGTTGTATTGTCTCATAGGGGTGGGCATAATAACGACCGAACCGAAAAAACCGGTCGAACCGAAAATTTCAGTTTATTCGGTTTCGGTTTTTTGGTTTATTCGGTCGGTTTGCGGTTTATTATTTTAAAAAGTTCGGTGTTCGGTTCGATGGTCAGTTTTAATTGTTCGGTTTTCGGTTAAACCGAAAAACCGAAGAACCGAATTCTGATACTACAATTTCAAGTTCACACTCTTGACTCTTCAATTGACCACGAAAATTTCAAATGATTCACGAGAATTCAGCGAGAAATTGATGAACTGCGAGAACTAATGCAAAAGAGGTTTAAGCTAAAACTGGTACCTTTTTATCTAGTGGAAAATCAATATTTGGAGTAGAAAATAGTCTTCTAGCGGTTTAGTCGACAAAGCATGGAATAACTTGGAAACTCTCCTAAGCTAAAAAGTCTGTAGCTTTTGCTTAAGGTTCAACAAACACGAGACGATTTTCGTTGAAGACAGTTGTTTCAACATGGGTTAGTTGCTTAAGGTTCAACATGGGTTAGTTGAAGACATAAGAAGCACTTGCATCGGCTGCAAAAAGTAATCTATTTTCGTTGTTTCGTATTATTTTTGTCATGGCTTGAAACCGAACCGAACATGAATAAACCGAACCGAAGCGAAGTTATTATGGTTCGGTTTTGGTTATTAAAATCACAAACCGAAAACCGAATTAACCGAACCGAAATTCTACAAAACGGAACCGAACCGACCGATGCATATACAAACATTTAAAAACCGACTAAAAGAATGCATATACAAACCTTTAAAAAAGAATCTAAAAGTACTCTGTATATACATTAAGAGGTACATTCACCGACTTTAAACCCTAAATTCACCACGGAGACGCAGGATCATGTTCCACAGGAATTGGTACTCATTAACATCCTAATTTCTCGCATACGGTTACCTATATTGGTTAAACCTAGCTCTCTAACAACAATGAAAAAACAAACATAACAAAAGCAGAAATATGAATTTCGCTCCAAGAAAATATCATAGATTATTTTTCTGCCTACGTACGTTTTATTTCAAGAAAATCAAGAAATTAAATTCCGAATTCGGAAAAAAATGGCGTGTTTATCTTTAGTTGTTTACTAACCGCACATAAACTAACTACGAGATAAGATCGACTATGAAAGCTGATTTTATTTTTTTTTGAGATAAAAGAGAGGTTTACTTTAAGAGCAGAAGATTCATCGGAATTAAGAGGATCAACAGAGACAATGACTTTAGAAAGTTGCGGTGAATCGGCGGAGGCGGCGGCGGCTTGCCATGATTTGGAAACAACTAAAGGACACTTGAGTAACCACACTGCATCCTTCGACTTTGCTGTATCCACTATTATACTACTGTTGATGTTATCTTCCTCCATCTCCGTCGGCTGTTATGATCGGTTTTTGGATAATTCTGCTCCTCCGGTTTCGACGGTGGCGATGTCTGAAATTGGAAAAGCGGAGGACTGAAGTGGACCGAGATTGAATCGGGTGTGGCTACGGATAAAAGACTTAAGTCTACGTGGGAATTGTGAGTTGTGACTTGATATATCACGTATTCCTTGAGTTTTTTTTTTTCTTTTTTCCTTTCCAAATACTCCTTGGAATTGGACGTGTGGTAATTCTACACGTACTAAAATTGAGAGTTCGAATTTTAGCAATATCAGACTAGTTTGGTTGGAAAATAAGTTATTTTGAGATTAATTATTTCGGAATTAGTTATCCCACGATTAATTATTTCACTCTTTCATGGGGATAAAAAAATACTACAATCTCGGGGATTAGTTATCCTATAATTTTATCTCAATCAAATATGGGATAAACTCATCTCAAATTTAATTTCGAAATTAATTATCCCTTATTCCTCGTACCAAACGAGTCCTTAGGATACTTAAAAAAGGAATTATACGACTATAGGGGCATCAGTTAACAAGACTAAATTTTAACGGTTTAAAACCTGTAGTACTACTAATATACATGTTTGAACTAAAGCACTCGCAGTTAGATTTGGGTTAAAATAACTTGGATCAATTTGAATTAAATAATGGATAATAACACCTAAAACCTTTTTTTAATAAAGAAGGGGGCATGAGGTGAAAGAGAGAAATCTTCAATCTATATATAATAGGAGAGGCAAAACAATGATAGGATGACAAGTGTCATCACCAGAAAAATAATAATCTAAAAAGAAAAACAAGGATAGACTAACAAGTGTGATCACCAAAAAAGGTTTAATTTTAAAAAGCAAAATAAATAAATAAATAAAATACGTAGTAAAATATTTACCCGTAAAACAGTACAGTTGAATTTGTAGCGTGGTTTATAGACAAGCGAATCGATTTGACCCTAAAACGATAAAAATAAGATTAAAATTAAGATTTAGCGATTGAAATTAAAGAAGATAACAAGCCTAATTCCGAACTCAACCTTTCCGAGAGGAAAAGTGAAAGTAAAGTTAAAGCAACGATGAAACTGTTAAAGTGAGAGCTTGAATAGTAAAGTATGAGAGCAAAATAGTAAGTATAGCTTTTGCGTGTGGAATGTTTCATGCCCTTGCAATGGTGTTAACCGTACTATTTATAGTTCTACCTAGAGAAACAAGATCCTAGGATCAAGCTCCTCTTTAAATAACAATAAAAGGGCCATTGATAAGTATGTAACGGCAGGCCTTGAATGCAAATATTCTCTGCAAGGGCTGCTCATTTAACGCTAGCAAATATTCTCTCATTGAATGTTGTCTGATGGCAAATCTTTGAACTTCTACCGCTGTCTACGTTCCCTTTGGAATTTATCCGTCAATCACGTAAGATAAGAAGTGACCTCAGTCTTCAGATCCTATGTGTGGCACACAGACAAATCTTGCCGATGACTCTTCACAAGTAGGCGCGACGTCGATTTGACCTCGGCTGGTTGATATTACAATACGTCAGTTAGTTAAGATTCGATCCCCCTGGAAGACTAAAAGAATTTAGCTTTCCTGAAAAAAGCGGTACCGGTCACACACGCCGCATTCGGTACTAATTGTTTCCCAACTCGTCCTTTGTCTATCTTCGGCTCCACGTGTCATCTTACCGTTCGATCACCTGTTATCAACCAATTTTATCACATACACAAAATTAATAAATAAAAAACTGCAATGGTAAAATAAATGCAATGAGCGTATAAAAAAGCTATATTACATGAGAAGTAATACAAAACTATGTTCATTAAATTATATTAAACTGGTAAGTTACTAAAAATTCATATGACAATGTAATATCTATCTATATATAATAGGATGGCAAGTGTTATCACCAGAAAAATCCTTAATTAAAAAAAACAAGGATTGACTGACAAGTGTCATCACAAGAAAAACTTTAATTTAAAAAGCAAAATAAATAAATAAATAAAATACGTAGCAAAATTAATAAATAAAAAACTACAAGGGTAAAAGAAATGCAATGAGCGTATAAAAAAGCTATATTACATGAGATGTACTACAAAACTATATTCATTATATTATATTAAATTGATAAGTTACAAAAAATTCATATGATAATTTAATAATTCTAAGTAATTTATAATATAATAAGATAAGCAAGTACAAATTTCAGGGAATAAAAATATAAATATAATTAGTACTATAATTTTTGCATTATGATATTCTCAAAGAAGAAAACAAAGAAGGTGGAATTCTAGAGATATGCTATTGAGAAATAGGCTACATTTGGATTATTACTGTTAGAACTTTACGTATAAATAGTAGAGATTTGTATTGAAACAATCTAACTATAAGGTAAGATACGAACAAATAAATAAATTATTGAGTTAGCTTTAATCACAATTTTAAAAGCAAAATATAATAGGAAAGGTCAATTCATAAGTTAATAAAAATTCACATGTATAAACGTATAGTACTAAGTACTTGACATAATATAAGTAAAAATATAAGACTTATAAATAGAATTATGATAACAAAAGACGTACATATACACATAATTGAAATCATAATAAACAAATAATCATAAAGAAAGAATATTAAAAAAAAAAAAAAGAATTCCAAGCGGTAGCTTAAAAATATATGTATTAATTAAATTTCTCATATAGAAAATTTTAGTTAACAAATAGAACTCATAATTTCATGTTAAAAAATATAAAGATAATTTATCGTATCTATACATAAGATAAGGATATTGTCACGACCCCAATTTTCCACCTCAGGATGTCGTGATGACACCTAATCTCTAAGACTAGGTAAGCCTAATATGCGTTGGGAACATCAGAAATAATAATAAACCTTCAAATTAAACCATGTAACTAACATAATAGAACTCAACAGTATAGCTGACAACAACTTCTCAAAACCTGGTGGAACAGAGTCATAAGCTTTACAAGAATATACAAATAGTCTCGTAATACAATACTGTTTTGGAACAAGAAATAAATAGTAGAATGTTTAAAAACAGAAGGTGACTTTAAGGCCTGCGGACGTTAAGCAGGAATACCTTGAAGTCTTCAAAAGTAGCTAGTTAATTAATCACTAGCGTCCAGCACTGACAGATGTATCTGGATCTGCACAAAAATACGCAAAAGCGTAGTATGAGTACATCACAATGGTATCCAGTAAGTATCAAACCTAACCTCGGTAGAGTAGTGATGAGGCCAGGTCAAGATACCTACTAGGACAAGATAAACGGAACAAAAATATAACAACGAGAAGTGATGGAAAGCGGAGAAACGAATGGTAACAAAGTAATTTAATAATGTAAACTAATGACAGAATTGTAAGCATAAAGACAACAATAAGAGAGCAAATAATGAGAACAAAAAATAATCAAGTACAGACAAAACTGATAAGACAAGAAAGAATAAAAAAGCAAAAAGAATTGTTCAACCAATAACTCTTTTTTCAATATGAAATGCACAACAAGAATCACAACCGAGGTACCACCTCGTATTCACATTTCATAATTCCAATCACAATCTTTCCTTATATCACCACGGGAGCCTTACATTTAGTTTTGAAAATTATTTTTTTCCGAAATAGCTACCCGCGTTTTAGCCCACCTTATCTCACCGCGTGGCTTCAAGTAGTTCCCCTACTAGCAACACGCGTATCATGCCCGCCTTATCTCACTGCATGCGTATCAACCCTAGCCTTATACCACCGTATGAGTATCAATATCACCACATAATCATAACTCGCACCACAAGTGCCCATATGCCACAACTTCCAAAAGAATCAACAACACCAATGTTTCTACAACAAATAGCCCATGGTTCAACCACAATTTGTACAAGAATCTCATCAATAACAAAATGAATGTGAATTTCTCAACAAGAAGGATATCTCAACAATTAATAACTTCACCTTAATGTGATAACGACTTTTACAACTTCAACACCAATAACTCAACAAGAAGATATTCCACGAAATAACAACTTCAAATAAAGTAATCCAACAATTTAAGAGGTAATCAAGACAATAAGGAAAGCAATGACTTCATCTAAAGCATATAAGAGCAAAATAACAAGTAAGAGGTAGAACATGTGTTAACAATATCAAATAAAATATGTAAGGGTAGATTAACACATGTTACAGTAGATTACCAATGAGGAATATAACATGTTATGACAATTCAATTAAAGGCATGGAAAGAGTCTAAATAACCTAAACGGGTCTAATACCACATATAGCCCGTGTACCCACTCGTCACCTTGCGTACACGGCTTTCACATAACATAAATAGCACAATTAACCCAAATTCTAAGAAGTAGTTCCCCCACACAAGGTTAGGCAAGATACTTACCTCAACTAGGCCAAGTCAACCCTCGGAAATAGCGTTTCCCCTAAAATTCACCTCCACACGACTCAAAATCTAACCAAAAGTTATTTATATCATCAAGCAATGCAAGGAAAAACAATCACAATAGATAAAGTTTTGATCTTTACAACTCTTCCAAAAAGTCAACAAAAGTCAATCCCGAGCCCTCCTGATTATTACCCGGGTCCAAGGGTAGATTTCGACTACCCATAACCCCACGAGTCCATATATGTGTTTGGTTTTCAAATCCAAGTCCAAATCGACTCTCAAAACTCAATTCTTCATTTTTCAAAAACTTGACAAAATTTCCCAATTTTCCTCTTTGATTTTCATAAATCTGAGATCTAATCATGAAATATAGTTGGAAATTGATTAGAATCACTTACCCAATGCTTGTAGGTGAAAATCCACTCTCCAAATCGCCTCCTACCAAGTCTAGGGTTCTAAAATGTGAGAAATGAGACTAAATCCCGACTTTCTAGCCCTTATCTCCAGCTGTAGATGTTGAATTTGCGATATAGGGTTTGCATTTGCGAACCCTCGCAATTGCGAATCAGGGATCGCATTTGTAAACCCTGACAACCTCAACAAAAGTCGCAATTGTGAAGCTTGCTACCATCGCAAAAGCGACCAAGTGGTCGCAAATGCGACCCAAGCCCAGGCCTGTAGACTTCGAAAATGCAAAGGGGGAAGTCTCAATTGCGACATTAGACCACCCCC